TATATGGAAAACAACACATGGATCAAATGCTACATGCATCAATGCATGCACACACACACATCGCTACCATTTCACATCTCCAATAGACAGAAAAACAAAACAAAATTTTTGAAACATAGATGAGGAAATGACGAATTGAAATGTATTTTTTGTTGTTTTTTTTTCTATAGATGATCTTTGATTGGTTTCTGGTTTTCGTTTTCGTTTTTTTTTCTGACACTGTATGCACTTCTTCGTTCACTATATCTCGCTCAATTTTTTTTTAATTTCAATTTGTATTTTGGGTTGATGTCAAACACAGTTTTTTTTTGTTTGGTTTGAGGACAACAAGTGATTGTTTTATTCGTTTAATTGTTGATGATTGAATAATGATGATGATGATGAGTCAATCTAATTGGTGGGGAAAAAAAACAAAATTCGAATGAAACAAAGGAAATGTAATTATTACAGAGAATAATTTCGATGATAAGAGAATAAAAAGCTGAAAACATTCAGGATTTTTTTCATTTGAAATATCAAAAAAAATTTCATTTTTTTTCTTCTTTCGTTTGTTAGTGAAATTGATCAATCAATGTATAATATGAATGATTTGAATTAATGATTCAAATCGATTCGTTTTTTAAGCAAAAAACCAAATTATTATCCAGGTCGATGAAATTGATAATTGAAATTGATAATTAATCATCCATCCACACACACACACACACTTACAAATGAAAAGTAACGGAAATTATTGTTTTTGTTATGTTGAAAAATGATAACAACAACAAAATGTTATGAACGAAAAAAAAAAGACGACATTAAACAATTATCAAAAATGATTATTGAATTAAAATTACCTGGTGATTTGAAATTCCGGAAATATTTGTTCATACAGAAATCATCTGTTGATAATGTGATTCACATCGTTGTTCAACATTCATTTGTATTGATATGAAATTTTCATTGAAAAAAAAAAATTCAACCAGGATCAAATGATTGTCAAGAACAACAACAACGACAACAACTGAAATGATGATAGCTAATTTAATTTTATTAAGATTTACGATTTACTGAATTGTTTTTTTTTGTTGTTGTTGTTGTTTTATCTAACGACCTTAATTGATAAATATAAAACAAAACAAATAAACAAAAACGAAATGGGAGTTTCAAATGATAATTAGTATTATTATTATGATCAATCATCATAGGAGAAAACAGAAACATTCATACGACAATGAAAACATTGAATCATCGAATTGGATTTTTTTTATTATTGTGTTTTGATTGATTTCCTTCAATTTTCGCTTCTGTTCTGTATTTTTTTTTCAGTTGTTTTTCAATCGATAAGACAAAGATATAATGATTATTGTCGTTTTTTTTCTTTATAATTATCTTTCTAATGGAGTCTAATTTAGTCTGAATCATTTTCGAGAATTCTCGATTGCTTTTCTCTTATTTCACAATTTTTTTTCCTTTCAAACACACAGGAAAGAAAATGGGGATTCACAAAAGAAGCAAAAAAAAAAATTCGGGAAACAAAAGGGAAAAACACCGTCAACAAAAAGCGATTATTTAATTTGATAATAATAATTAAACAAATAAACCAAAATTGGTAATTCTTGATCAACAAAATGATATATTTATATCAATATTTTCATTATTATTACATTCCATTATTTGATAATCTTTATCATGTTGATAATGATTATGTAGTTGTTAATATAATAACAATCATTATCGACATTGAAGAAGATCATTCATTCTGGAAACAATAATAATTAAATTGCAAAGAAATAGATTTCTACTATACCAATCACAAATTTGATTCGTATTTCTTTTTTTTGGAAAAAGGAAAACAAATTAATGATCATTTTTGTTTTCTCATTTTTTTTTTATAATTCGATTTGATAATTATAAATGATTTTTTGTTTTTGTTTTGTTTGATGAATATTCAACAACAACAACAACAACAAAAATAAAATATATCTATAATAGCCAAAAGGCATAAATACCTTTGAATGTTGATTATTCAAAAACAAAGATGATAATGGAAAGAATAAAATGGATTTGATTAACGAATTTTAAATTATCATAATGTTGTTGTTGTTGTTGTTGATTATTTAATTGATCAATTATTGAGAATCAATTATGATGATGATGTTTGTTGTTGTTGTTTAACATTCAATTGATTTGTTGTCGTTGTCTTTATATAATTTCTCAGAATATCCATCATTGGTCATAATTATTTTTGCTATGATGTATGTGTACCCGGTAAAAAAGATGAGTATACAATATGTAATTCGAACATATCATTCAATCGAATCTGATATATCAATGAAAAATGAAATGGACAATCTCATTGATGTGAATCATATATCAAATTATTATGATGTAATGATCTGTCAAAAAAATGAATGTTGATGTTTTTTTTTTAAAAAAGTTTATTATATCAACATGATGATATAACAGAATGTTTTTTTTGAAAATGATCATGTTCAATATAGGAGGAGTACTTTGAAAGATGAAGGGACAGTTGTTTGTTATTTTATGATGATGATGATTATTATTGAATTTCATTAAAATTTTTATTTTTTAAAAAACAGATGGTTTTAATAATTGATATAATCTATGTACCTGATCTTGCTTGATGGATGTTTTTTTTATATTATTTCTTCTTCAAAGATGACCCAAAATTGTTGTTATGTGAAAAAGAAATGTTGGTAATATCTAATTAATGGAGGTCAGCAATCGATGGTTGTTGGAAAAAATTCAATAAAACACTTCTGGTTATTTAAATTTTTCTATTTTTTTCAACTAATTCATTTGATGATAATAATGATGATGATTGTTGTTTATGTTGTCAGTCGAAGTTATTATTAATTTTTTATTTTCAATAAATAAATACAATCGTGATTTGTTTTTTTGTTTGTCCACTTCTTATTCCGAAGAATACAATCAATTGCAAAAGAATCATAGTGGAATGAAAAGTTAACAACAAAAAATTCATTATTTGATAATTACGGTTTGATGATCGACGATGATCGATGATGGTGAAAAAAAGAATGAAATTAATCGGAAAAAAATCTATTTTTAAAGATAAAAAAAAATTCAATTAATGATGGGTTTATGATTTTTATGTCTTTTTTACCCAAACATCATTATGTTTTTTTTCGATGATGATCATAATTGGTATCGTCATTTGATTCATTATTATTAGACACAATCAAATTTATGTACCCGTAATCAAATTTGTTTTCTTTGAGCAAAAAAAATTTAAAATTTCAATTTCAATTTTAAAATTGATGATTTATTGGAAAAAAATTTGAAATGACATTGAAAATTACCATCGAAAAAAAAATAATTAAAAACAACAACAACAAAAAAAAGATGAAACGAAACAGGAAAATAATATTCGTCGAATGAAATAAGATTTGTAAATATTAAAAATCGATATATCGATTGTTGAATATCGATTGTTTTAATCATATTATTATTTTGATTTTTTTGTTTTCATTAATTAGATTGATTTATTTTTAATTATTGCTACAAAATTTCATTTATTTGGATCAGAATTTTTGTTTGTTTTTTAAAAGAATAAATCAGAATTATTGATTCTTCGAAAGAAAATGGAAAACATTATCATAAATTTATTTGGACAATTATTACAATTGAATCAACAACGTATTAATAATTGGAATAAAATTCAACAATTACAAGGTTCATGGAATACATTTAAATTATCACTTTTAGATCCGGCATTTAAAGATTCGCAAAGTTTTTCCAATGAATTTCAATCCAAAATTGATGAACTTTATGTTTTAGAATTTAATGATGATCAAATGGATTCATTAGCTATTATAGGTGGTGAGTGAAATTTCGAAATGATAATTTTTGTTTGTTTTTTTTTGTGAATTTAAAAACTTTTTTTTTGAAATACAGATATGATTGACAAATTGAATCCAGAAATTGATGATTTCGATGAAAAGATACGAATCACAATACAAAACTGTCAAACAAATCGATTAGTTCGTAAAAAGATTATCGATTTGTTACGAAAAAAATTTAATGATTCCAATTCGACAACTGTTGATAATAATAATAATGTGATTAATGAAACATTGATGAACATCGACGATCATGAACCACAAACAACTTCGAATGGATCAACACAAATTGAACCATTGACCACAACAATCGAAATAGCCGAATCAAATTCTATAAGTGATAATGGTGATCAGCTTCCGCTAATAACAAATCATCGTTCTAATATTCAAAATAGACCCAATAGACGTCATCAAAGTAATCAACAATTTTATCAAGGAAAACGTCGATATCGTTGTCCAGATTGTAAACGTTCATTTCGTAGTAATCCAAAACGTAGAGATCATCAATCAAAATGTCATTGATCGAAATTATTTATTTATTCATTTTTGTTATCATGTTGCTCAAAAATGTTCCATTTATTTCATGTTGAAAAAACAATTATTTTTTTTTATACAAACAAAAAAAAATTCCATTCTCTTGTTTATTCGCAATTTTTTTTGATATTAATAATTATAAAAACCATGAACAATTTTGAAAATTAAAGCCGTTCATTTGTGATAATTGGAAAAAAAAATATTCATTATTTTTTTTTGTTTTCCTTACATTCCCATTCCCATACTTTGTGCCGCTGCTGTTTGTTCCTGTTGTGCTCTTGGTGCTTTAATTGTTTCATCAACAGATAATATCAAACATGTTGCTTCAGTAGCGGCAATCATTGCATTACGTTTAACGACACTTGGTTCCCATACACATGCTTCATAATTATCGGATATATCTTCCGATCGTACATCGATACCATACCATTTACCATTCGGTTCTGAATGACGTTTACGTAATCGATTCAATAGATTGGTAGCATCAAAACCAGCATTATCACATAGCTGTCTAGGTATAACTTCTAATGATTTAGCCATTGCTGCAATAATTAATTGTTCTTTACCAGCAATCGTACGTGAATAATCACGTAATATACGTGATAATTCCATTTCAATAGCACCACCACCGGCAACGATTGAATCATTTTTCAATGCACGTCTTACAATCATAATAGCATCATGTAATGAACGTTCAGTTTCTTCAATAAATTGTTCAGCACCACCACGTAAAATGATCGTTACTGTTTTTGAATTTGGACAACCAGTAAAAAAATTATAACGTTCTTTACCAATTTGTCGTTCTTCAAAATGTTCACATCTACCAAGATTTCCATCACCAAGATCGGAAACGGTTGTAAGTATAGCGCCACCACATGCTTGCATTGTACGGCGAAGATCTTCATCCTGTACACGACCAGCACAAAACATATCTCGATCGGCAAAATACTGTGTAGCAACATCACCAATCGGTAATTTTGATAGAACAACTTTAGCACCAGATTTCCAGATTTTTTCCAATTTATCATAAAGAATTTGCCATTCAGCATCAACTACACGTTGATATTCATCTACTGAATCAACACGAACTTCGGCATTATCTTTTTCTGCTTTCAATTCTAATTCAATATTCAATAAAGCAATCTTAGGATTTTCATATGTTTTCGGTTGCATTTCAAAACCAGCATATGAAAATGTTTTCTTAAAAGCAACACCGGCAACCAATAAACTTTCTTCAAGTGCACCACCTTTTTCTTTTTTAATACCTATCATATTCATTGGTAAAAGTTCATCCAATTGCATAACAGCATTGACAACCATTTTGGCGAAAAAATCCTTTTGATGTGCAACAATTTTCGATGATAATGTTGTAGCGGCACATTTTTCCAACAATTCACGTTTAAGTTTTGGATCATTAACGGAAAATTTTACCGATAATTCATCAAATTGTTTAAGAATAATTTGTAAACCTTTACGAAATGAACGTATGATCACCTGTGGATGAACACCTTCTTCAACAAATGGTTTTACTTGTTTAAGAAATTCGGCTGCAATCAATGCAACCGATGTTGTACCATCGCCAACTTCATCATCCTGTGAACGGGCAATATCAACCAATGTTTTTGCACCCGGATGAACAATGTCCAATTTTTTCAATATTGTTGCACCATCATTTGAAATAGTCATTTCACCTTTTTGATTGACAATCATTTTATCCATACCACGTGGACCAAGTGTTGTACGTACTGCTTCAGCAACAGCTTGACAGGCAGTAATATTACTAATAACCTGTGCTTTACCTTGAGTATTTTCAGTACCATCTTTCAAAAGAATGATTGGTGGATTCTGACAAATTAAAACATTAAACAAAAATGAATCATTTCAATCAATCAACATCAAATACAAGCAAATAAATAATTACCATAAGACGCATCATTTTTTTTGGTTTGAAATGATTAAAAATTATCTGAAGATTTGAAAGGAAAAAACAAAAATTAATCAGATTAAAAATTCAATTGTATTGAATGAATGTATGGAGAAAATAAAAAAGCACGCCGGTTTAATTGTGTGTGTGCGAAAGAGAGAGAGAATCGAACAATTGAAAAATTTTGCAATAAAAACACACGCCTTTATGGAATGCTGTTCATAAATATCAGGACACACAGAAAAAAATATGAATTTTCGTAAATCACATTGTTCCATGATTAAAGCTGATATTTTCAATCAATTTTGTGCAAAAAAAAATTTAAAATTTTAATTTTTTATTATTAATTTCATTCATAAATCAATTGGATAAAATTGTGTGCTTGTGTATGTTGTTGTTATTGACAAAATTATTGACAAAAAAAACTGCCGCAAAAGAAAAGAAACATTTCATTTAAAAAAAAGAAACGTATATTAAACGTTAATTAACAAAACAAATTAACAAAATATTCTATTGAAATGAAAAAAAAGCAATGCAAAAAAATAAACGAAACGAAAAAGAAATTGCAGTGTTGAATTGAAACGAAACAAAAAAAAAATTAATAATGTTGGTCAATTTGACAGCAAAGCACACACCTGATTTTTTAATTTTTTCAAAAAAGTTTTTAAGTTCTGGCCTATTTAGAAAAAAAAATTTGATATTATAATTTTTGATTTTGTTTTTGTTGGTCACATTATTATTATATGTTGTTGGCATGTTTGATTGGCTCGCGAAACAAAGAAATGAAGAAAAAAAGATTGAATTCGTATATCGATTAATCAACCAATTCATATGATGAATCAGAATTACGTTCACCATTTGATTCTTGTGAAGAATCTTCACCAATAATTTCTTCTTCTTTATCAATGACTTCTTCGTTATCCGATTCTTTTGGTGATGATTGTGGTGATGGCGATGAAGATGATGATGATAATTGTGATTTTTGTTGTTCGGCTAATTTCATCGAGATCAAATTGATAAAATCATTTTGTTTTGATAATGGTAATATATAATGAATATTATCACCATCATAGATTTCGATTTTAGGATAGGCAGTAAGACGATTTTCCTGTAAGTTTTACGAAATAAAGTGTGAAAAAAATTTTGAATATAAAAACAACAAACAAACAGAATTAGAATGAAATATAGTTATTACCTGAATATATGATTCGATAGATGAATAAACACGACGACTACCAATAACAACAGACATAATACCACGATAAGGAAATTTTACATAAACAACTGGATCAACTTGTTCAGGTAATTGAGCAAAACGATAACCTTTTTCCATTAACATTGATTTAATTATAGGATGTTTTATAATTGAATCATCGGATATGATTGCACCGATCATAAAAATATATTCACATGAATCATAACGTTCAGCATTAATAAATTTTCTACGATCAATTTCATTCAAACGATCACGTTCTAAATAGATACCGAATGTTGAATATTTTGAACGAAAATCCATTGGAAATATTGAACAAATTTCGGTAAACAATGATGAACTATCCGAATATTTTCCATAATCAATACGATAAACAATTGAACAATTACCATATTTATATGGTGATTGTCCACTTGATACATTGATTGTATCGAATAGACCAAAATAATTTAATGCAAACAATATGGTTAATATTAATATTAATGATAATAAAGCTATGGCAATTATCAATAATAACATGATTGAATTTCAATTTTTTCTGTTTGTTTGTTTGTTTGACTAGGGACGATTCAACTAATAATAATAATGATAATAACAACCAATGATGATTATGATAATCAAGGCGACGAAAAAACAAGACCAAAAAACAAAACAAAAAAAGACAAATTTTCAATTTAATGTGAACAGTCGACAATATTGATCAATCGATTGATTGATTGATTGATTGTATTGAAATGGACCCTGAAATCTTGTTAAAGGATTCCCAAATTGTATAAACAAAAAAAATAAATCTGGATAATTGAAAAACCACCCCCAAAACAAAACAAAAAACGGTCGAAATCCTTGAAGACGTTCAACGTTGATGATGATGATGATGATGATGATGGAGAAGAGGGTGACGATGCGCCATCAACAACAACAAACAAAATGCAATATCTTTTCGAATTGCGTCTGCGTAATTTGATTTTTTTTAATTTTTTTTCTTTCGAACAAATATTATTTTTGTTTGTTCCAGTTTTTTTTGCTCTTCTTATCTTATGTCCAGTTTTTTGTTTTTGGTTATTTTGTTCCAAAACTGTTTCGATTTTTTTGTTCTCAAATCAGATCATGTGAGCAAATTTTTTTGTCTGTTTCACGATAACAAATCAGGTTTCGTTTTTGTTTTTTTTTCAGGATATCATTTTTTTCAAATTTCTTCCGGATTTTCGTTACCGTTGATCTGTAATCATTTGTATGATTTTATCGTTTTGTTTTATTATTATTATTATTTGGTTAAAATAACGATCTAATGTTTTATTTACAAATTATTATCATTATTACATAATATCAAATACTTGGAGAGTTGTTAATAGAGTTGAATCCTGATCTTGATTAACTTGTTATCGATTGTTTGTAAATAACAGGTTTGTAATGATTTTTGTTATTTGATGAAAATAATTCCAAAAAAAATTCAATGTTGTTTAACAATAGAAAAATTCATCTTGTAAAATATCTAGAACAGCAATGGTCTAGTTCGATTCACTTGTTTGAATTTGAATTTCGGAATAAATGTGCCTGTGATGTAGTGGTATCATATCTGTCTAACACACAGAAAGTCCCAGGATCGAAACCTGGCAGGCACAAAGATTTGTAACAAAAATTGTTCCGATTTTTTTTTTCTTTTAATTTACTTGTCCATATCAAAATGATTAGTATATTTTGAAATCTTAGAATTGTTGATTTATGTTTTTTTGTTTCAGAATTTTAATTCTATGGAAAAAAATGATTCCGGAAAAGAATTTTTCCCACAAAAAACAATACTTTTTTCTTTCATGGCATACTATACAGATGGAGCCATCGGTTTCATCGATGTAAACACGCATTTTTTGTTGATGGTGCACGTGGATGCATTTTTTTCACATTTAATTTAATTCCGAATAGAATAATCTTTAAAATGTCGAAAATCGTTACGAAACGTTTTCATCGTGCACATCTTTCGGCACCATATTTACGACCATCACGAAATGATAATAATAATGTTTTGCGTAATGAATCTTTGGAATTACAAAGCCAAGAATTATTGAATAATATTCTGGAACAATTACGTACAGATCGGCCATCTGAACGAACATTCGGTACTGATATGATTATTTCATATATCACAAATGAACTAATATCATCGGAAAAATTCGATAAAAGTAATGAATTTCGTAAAATTCTTCAACAACTGCGAACAATGATTTGTGATCGATCTGAAAATGTTCGATTCGGTACGATCGATGCTTTATGTCATCTAAGTACATTGAATGAATCGATTATCAAACAAATGGCCGAACAAGATATTCAAATTCATCAAGAGATTCTTAATTTTTTTCAACAATTTTTACTTCCATTAAATGTTGATCAAATGAGTGGTAAAAATCGTAAAGTTTCCAGTTTGACTATTTTTATCGATGCTTTTAATCTACTAATAAGTATTTGGTTTGTTTTTTATCGTTGAATATATTGATTTTTTGCTAATTAAATCTATTTTTGTTTGGAAATTCAGTGATCATGTTCCTGATACTATCGATTCGGTAATCAATTTTGTTGGATGGAAACAAATTCTGCTCAAATGCATCAACATTCATTCATCGAATGATTTAGATCGTATGAATTTGACAATAGCTGCCATACAATTGTTATCATTAATCATTGATGAACGTCGTGGAAATCGATTTATTCAACGTTTTGAATTAAATGATTCGTTTAATGAACTAAATAATCGGCTTGAATCTATGAATTCGACCGAAACATCGGTAGACGTCCCGTCGACATCAACCGGAAACTTTTATCTCCAATGTCTTTTGCTTCAAATGTCATGCAGTGATCTTAATCCTACATCCGCACCTAACGAATCGATTTTTGTGCAATTGGGTCAATTAATTCGACGAATTTTTAATGCAAATTTTAATGAAAATTTTAAAAAATTTATCGAACAAATCGAAGATGATTTATCCAATGAAATGCAAAAATTACAACAAATGTATCCATTATATCAGGAATTACGATTATATCTATGTTGTAAACAATTCTGTTTTGAATGGTTAACCAACATGACTGGTTTATCTTTTGATAATGAGGATGTAAATGAAGATGAAATGATGGAAGACGATGATGTCGAAACAACGGAGCTTGATCCATCTTTGCGACAATTCATACAAGAACAATCGATATTATCGATTATTTCAAATGAATTATCAAATATTCCATTTCGAATCGATACCGATCATTTGTATGGAAAAGAAATCATCAACCTAATGGATAATTATCTAATGACATCATTAACATTATTACATAATCTGATTGGTCATCATTCATGTTTATCGTTTACCATGAATGAAATTGATAAAATATGGAATATTGTTTTTCTTATTGCTTTTGATGATGATAAAATGGACGAAGATAATGTTCGAACAGAAACACAAATATCGTTTGATGTACGAAAAGAAGCCATAAATGTCATCAGACAATTTGTACAAAAATTTTCCGATAATAGCAATAAATTAACTATGGATATAATAAATCAATTGAAAACATTATGGTCACATAACGACAATGATTATGATCTTAGAATTAATATTGTTAAAATTATATCGGATTATTTACAAAAATCATCAACAATCATAACTGAACGATCATCAATGATAATAGAATGGATTCGTTTTATATTGAATTCATTGACAATGAATTCAAATCATTCATCATTGATATTTGCAGCCGAAATATTAGATTCAATTATTGATATACTATCGGATGAATCGATTGCTAGTGAATGTATTCGAAATGATTCATCATTATATTCATTGTTGACTAATAAATGGCAACAATTTCAACGATTAACCAGATCGAAATCAATTCAAAAACAAAATCCATGTATAGCAATTGTACATGAAAATATGCAATCATTTTTAGATTATCTTCGAAATTTTTTATAATTAATTATTATTAAAAATTATTCTATACAAAGTTTTTTTTTCAAAATTCAAATTAGATTAATATCGTTCCGGTGGTACATAATCCTCTTCAACCACTGTTTTTGAACGAATTTCAGCAATACGTTTTTCGGCTTCTGTAAAATCAATTTCATGTTTGGGAAAATTTTCAAAAAAATAATATAAACGTTTTTTCTCTTCAAATTCTTGTTGTTTTTGTTCGATTTCTTGTCGTCGACGTTCACGTAATAAACGTTCCATTTGTTCATCCAAAACTTTACGACGATTTGTTTGAAATTGATCAAACAATTCTTGTTGATTAGCAATATCGGATGATTCTAATTTCGGTAAATCTTCAATTCGTTTATCAATCAATGTTGACATTGTTATCGAAGATGTTTGATCAATTTTAGTCAATTCATTGAGACGAGATTTTATCGTTTCAAGTTCTGTAACTTTAAATAATTCTAAATGTTTATCAATAACTTTTATCGGTTCAGCTGTAATAGTTAATGATTTTCCAATACGATCGAATAATCGTAATAAACGTTCCCATTTTTGGTAATAAATTAGACCGATTACCATTGATGTATGGGCCAATTTTAATTCTTCATTCGATTCAGTTGATAATGATTTTTCCAATTCTCTTCCGAAAAAATAAAGACATTTACCAAATATGTGATTACGATTTGTAAGATCAAAATGATCATCGAAATATGGATTTGTTAAAAATGGAACACGAATATATTCGATTTCATCGTCATCATCATCATCTTTTTTATCAGTAGATGAATCTTCTTGATCGATTGGTACAAGTGAACCATATTGATTATCGATCAACAATCGATTCAGAACGAATAATGATAATGTTTTCGTAATATCATTACCCGAATCTTCTTGTAACATCATTAATTTTATAACATCGAATGCTTCAAACCATTCTTCGGCACGTATGGATTGATCCAAAAAAATATTATTGATAAAATGATCCGGAAAAATACCATATTCAATACGATTATTAAGAATGTGCATCAATTCGGATCGTTTTTGTTGTGCAAGATAAAATCTACAGGTAGCATGATGTGTAGATTCAAGTGTATCAACTGTTTTAGGTGTTTGACGAAATCGCCGTAAAATATGTTCCAATTCCATTTGTGATTCTGGCCGATGAAGTGAATTGATAAAAATATCTACATCGATTGCTGTAACCGGTTTCTTTTGTTGATATTTTTGATTCAATTCAAAAAAGTATCGTTCTATTTTTTTTAATTAGATATTTTTTTAAAAAAAACGAACATTCAAATCTTATTCAAATAAAAAATTTACCCGTAGAAATATGTTTCAATGTTTCATCTTGTTCAAAACGTTTTGACCATTCATTATCACATGAATATGATGATGATAATAATGTACGAAATTGTTGAAAAGTATTTAAAAAATATAATTTTAATCGATTATTATATCGAATCATCATCATCATCATCAGATTGATTATTTGGATTTTGTTAAAAAAAAAGAAAAAGAATTTTTGATTCGATTTAAACACACATGTGTATTCTTTTGGAACAGTTCATAAAGTATAGGATCCAGAAAAATTTTTATTTATTTATTTTTAAACACAATATTGTGTTAAAACCTTGGAAACTGAATGCAGCATTTTCATTTTCTGTGTATATTCAAAGCCAATTTCAGCTGCAGTGTATGCATACTTCTGCAGAATGTGATGTGAAAAAAAGGCAGAGATACAGAAAAAAACAAAATCTTCATTGTTCACGTACAGACCACCGCACAACAAAGTACACCATATCACCGACGATATACGACAACGTGGTCGATAGGAATATTTTCAAATTTATTTTTTTTTCTTTTTTAAAAAATTATTTTCTTTTCTCAAACTTTTTTTCTTCAAAATTTCCATATGTATATAAAGCTGTGATTTAAATTGAATTTGGATTATTCAAAAAGTGAAACACGAGTGAAACGAATCAACTACTTACGATTCCAAAGTCTAAAGTGTGCGAGTAAAATCCAAACAAGAAATTGCAAAATCATCGGGTATTGTTTTCTTTTTGTATTTAATCAATCTTCAAATGATGATTTTTATCATGTTTTTTTTCGCTTTGTTTATGCAAGAAAAATATTTAGATTTTGAATTTCTTTCTTTTTTTCTTTCATTCTAACATTTAGTAGATCTTTTGACTTCGTCGAATCACTTTTCATCAAAAATAAAAATCATTCCACATTTGATTTCAGGGGAGAGAGTATTTTTTCGAAAATCCACATTTTCCAATTAATTACGAAAAACCAAGTGAAAAATTTGAAACAAAAAAAAACAATGTTACGCATTCAGTCATTATGGCAACAATTGTCAAAATCATCATCGAAAATATTTGGACAACAATTATCGGTAACATCATCAATTGTTAATGATCAACAATTTCGATTTGTATCATCAGATGGAAAAGTATCACGAATTAAAGTTGAACGTCCTATTGTTGAAATGGATGGTGATGAAATGACACGTGTTATTTGGGAAAAAATTAAAGAAAAAGTTCGTATCCATTATTATTATTATTCGAAAAAACAAAACAAATTGATAGTGACCAAAATAAAAAATTTCGCTATTTTAAAATAGTTAATATTTCCATACATAGATCTTGAATGTCTTTATTATGATCTTGGTCTACCATATCGTGATCAAACCGATGATCAGGTTACATTCGATGCTGCTATGGCCATTCTTAAGCATAATGTTGGTATTAAATGTGCTACAATTACACCGGACGAAGCAAGAGTTGAAGAATTTAAATTAAAACGAATGTGGCCATCACCAAATGGTACAATAAGAAATATACTTGGTGGAACAGTATTTCGTGAACCAATCCTAAGTAAATCAATACCAAGATTAGTACCAGGTTGGACTAGACCTATAACAATTGGACGTCATGCATTTGGTGATCAATATAAATGTACGGATATTGTTATCGATGGACCGGGTACGGTTGAATTAGTTTATCGACCAGCTATTGATGGTAGTGAAGAACAACGACATTTAGTCTATACGTTTGAAAATAAAACAGCATCGGGTGGTGTTGCATTATCCATGTATAATACTGAAGAGGTTTGTGTGATATCTGATGATTGAAAGTTGAATAATTTTAAATCAATTTTTCAAATTCAAAGTCAATCATTGGATTCGCTCATTGCTGTTTTCAATATGCCTTGATGAAAAAATGGCCATTATATTTAAGTACAAAAAATACAATTCTAAAACGTTATGATGGACGTTTTAAAGATATATTCCAAGATATTTATGAAAAGTAATAATTTGAATTGATTAATTTGTATTTGAAGAATTTGTTTATAATCATTTTTGTTCAATTTTTTTTCACATTAGAGAATATCGTGAACAATTTGATTCATTAGGTATTTGGTATGAACATCGATTAATCGATGATATGGTTGCACAGGCATTAAAATCAAATGGTGGATTTGTATGGGCTTGTAAAAATTATGATGGCGATGTACAATCGGATGTAATTGCACAAGGTTATGGTAGTTTAGGTCTAATGACATCTGTATTAGTTTGTCCAGATGGTAAAACTATTGAATCAGAAGCAGCACATGGAACAGTAACACGTCATTATCGTGAACATCAAAAAGGACGACCAACATCAACAAATCCAGTTGCATCAATATTTGCTTGGACACGTGGTCTTGAACATCGTGCTAAATTAGATGGTAATCAACCATTAAAACGTTTTGTTCGTAATCTAGAAAAAGCCTGTATTGATGCAATCGATGATGGCCATATGACCAAAGATTTAGCTGGCTGTATACATGGTCTTAAAAAGTATGTTTAAAATGTTTGTTTTTTTTTCATTAGAATTTTTATCCTCTTATTCTTGACACTCATTATGCTTTTATAAACAACCATAGCATATAAGTGAATGCTAAATAGAGGAAAATCAAAAAAAAAATATTGCACACCTTCTGTATCTCGATTTTGATTCAATCATTTCATATCGGTGATACTTCCTCTAGGTGCAATACATTTCAATATTTATTTATTTATTTGATAATTTTTTGTCGAAATATTTATCACTTTTTTCTTTTTTTTCATAGTGTTGGCGAAGGCGATTATTTAAATACGATGGATTTTATGGATGCAATCGTTGAAAAACTTGAAGATCGTTTATCAGGCAAAAAAGAATGAATGAACAAACAACAAGTTTATTCATTCATTTGTTGACAATTTAAATCAACTTAATTTTCTCACACTTTATACATTCTTACCATCAATCATCTTCATCATCAATTTTATTCAATCAATCAATCAATTATCATTTTATGAATTATTTTCTTTTTCCATAATTATTTTCATTCAAATATTTAATTTTCTTTTTTTTATTGAAAACAAAAAATGATAAAAAATAAATTTCAATATCAAACCAAAAAAATCTGTTTTTTTTTTAAATAAAAACATTATTTAGCTAACCATAATGTTAACCAATATGATATATTGAATAGAATAAATATCATTGGCATTACAATTCTTGAATAAAGATTCATTGAATGTTGTCGAACGATTTGTCCTTGTTCTAATTGATATGATTTACCATTATCACCATGTGGACAACGTGATACAGACGATATGAATGATATAAAAATCATTAACATACAAACAAATACATATATATCGATTGCAGTTAATGAATATTCATTTGGACGAGAAATTGTTGTTGTAACACCAAACATTATAATCAATATACCTAATGATGTAAATATACCGATTAATATTCTTGCTGTTGAACGTTCAATTGGATCGATACATAATGACATCCATGATAATATGACAAGCATTATTGATGGTAGATATATGTGAAACAAAAAATAACCACATTTACGTTCTAAATGTATTTTGGCAATCAATCGGCTATATGTTCCAGTGGATAATTTAATTCTTTCCTCCTTATGTTCAATAACATTATGATCATTTTTATTATCATCCGAATTGTTTTTAATAATTTTAAATCCAATCAATGATGGTGGTGATGAATCAATCAATACCGAATCATCAATCCATTTATATAGAATATCACTTGCTGAAAATCCATCTTTTTTTTTAAATAATAAAAAATATGTTAAGAAAAAAAGTTATTTAGAATCCAAAAAAAAAAACTTACAACTTTCAATTTCTAATTTGCAAACAGGATGATCGGATGGAAAATAGCCAATACGATTGGCACAATTTACAATCGCCGTTAAACGATGACTATAAAATACTTGACCATTTGATTTAATACGTATAAAACGATTACCATCGCTAAATGAATTTTGTGCATGTGTATCAAGTTGTTTAGCTGTTGTTATGAATGTATCGGGTATCCAAATTGATTCGGATTGTTTCGATGTCATTACAACATAATCAATATTTTCAAAATCATTTTCGAACATTAATCTTGGATCATACCATATTTGTCGAAAATAAAAATCAATCATAAAATTCATTGAATCCGGTGAAGCTAATCCAATATCCATTACATACATCGTTACATTTACATTAACCGTTTTGTTTTGTTCAAAATTTGGTCGAACATTTTTCAATGTTTTTAAATCATTTTTATTGAATAAATGTTCAATAATTTCTGTATGTTTTATATCGTTTGCATTGGTAACCACGATAACACTGTAGAAATAAAAAAAAGGGTTAATTTGTCAGAAAAATTAGTCCAAAAAAAAAATCAATTACATACATTGACAACAACAAAGCTGTCCATTTGAACATTTTGAAAAACATTATGATTGTTCGGGGATTCGACAGTAGAAAAAAAAAATTTAGGGTAAAATGATGAAAATGTTGAATTTGTATTTATACTATTCACCACCATCATCATTATTGTTTGTTTCGTTTTTGGATATTATCATTGAATCGATAGGGTCAAATCAAATTGAAAGTTGTTTATTTGAACTTTGTATTTTGTGCATGCATAAAGATATGATGATTAAATCAATCATCGAATTGATTATTTTGTTGTTGTTGTTGTTGTTGAATCCAATTAAAAAAAACTCCAAATCAAAATATTTCATTCAATTCAGATCATAAGATTTAGATTTTTTTTGTTGTTGAAAATGTATCAACCATTATCATCGAATTTGATTGTGATGAATAATGTTGGTAAAGTCGTCGTCATTTTTGTTGTTTACTTTTTTTGTTAAAATTGATAAATTACCGAGACGATTGAAATTGTGATTACCGAAAAGATTTTTAAGATTTTCAAAAATTTTTTTTTTCAAAATTAACCAAAATCGTTCAATTTTTTTTACCTGTAATTTTTAGTTTCAAATTTCCATTTTGTTTTTTTTTCAATTCGAAATACTGGGCGGCGCTGCTTATCAAAATATTTCGGCATTTTGATTACGGCTTACCATGAAGCCTGTGTATTTACAACAATACACAGGGCTTCATCACACAACTCAATGGCCATCATCATTACGGATGATAAGCCAGTACACAATGGCGGTTTGGTATATTTTTTGAAATATAACGCCACAACGTGATTAAAATAAGAACTAAATTCCCGTATAGATTAATTCAATTCGATTTGATTTGATTTTAATCGAAAAAAATTTCAAATTACAATTTATTCGATGAGATTGGATTTGATTTGATTTGTTTGTTATTGTGGATTATCATTTTAGATGTGGAAAAATTTTCAAAGTTTCTTGAATCATTTTATCAATCCAATCAAAATGCGCGCCAAATAAAATATATTTTGAATTTTGAATATTTTTTTTCAAACATTTCAATTCAACTTGAAAGCGCATCTGCTTGCTCATCAGTCACAGAATTCTGTTAACAACACAAACACAATGCGCCTGCTCAATTCGAAGTCGTTGGATTTGACTTTTCTTCGTTTCTTCGTTTCTATTTTTCTTGCAACTAATTCGAACACATACAAAAACACATACAGATTTTATACGTTCGAACTTTTCAAGTTTTTGTTTCGTTTTGTTTGTTGAGGTTTATTTTTTTTCCCATTGCATTAAGTTTTCATTTGGAGAACAAAATCATTTGGAAAATCAATTTCATTTCATTTTCATTTGATTTGCTGAGAAAAATTATTCATTATTTTTCTTTAAATCGAGACTGTGAAATTTCATCATCGATTTTTATTTGGATTGGTTTTTGTGTGTTTGTGTGGTTTCAATCCTAATCATCCGAATTTTTGGTAAGTGTTTTACTTTTTTACTTTGTTGTTTATGAAATTCCAAAATTTTTGAATCTGTTTTGGTTTGTTGTTATTATATCTGACGATATAAGTTCAATGTGTTGATTGATTTGATGTCAATGATTCATATTGAATGATGTGATTATTTGATTTAGTTTGTTTGATCTATATCATTGCAATGATATCATTATTATTATATGATGTCATTCATTATTTTTTGTTTGTTTGATCAATATATCGTTATAATAGAAAATCAATGATCATTGACATATGATAGTTTTATTAATATTTACCTGTTAGGTCATTATTTGCATATTATTTTACAACGAAATGATTTTTCAGAGATGTTTTTTTTTGGAATTGGTTGAATCAAATGACGCAAATTTGTGACTTTTTTTCATTGATAACCGTTTTTTTCCAGATAATCATTTCCAATTATTAACATCGATGATTTTCGAAAATAAAGTTCATTTCTTTTTTTGGCGGTTTCGATTAACGCGTGCGCGTAAATTTTGTTACCGCCAAAATAAAAAAAATAAAAAATAGCCACGCATCCGAATTGGAAAATGTGTAACAAAATCAATGATAAAATAGATATTGAATTCTTTCATCTTAGAATTTTTGTTGTTTTATTTTTATTTTTTTCATTACAATTGATTATATTTGATCTTAATAAACTATCACAATGGCTGCCTTTTTTTCTCTCTGTTCGATTGATGCACCATTTTTCTTTTCATTCCACATTTATTACAGCAAATACACACATACACACCTTGTGTCATTATATATAAGCAAAAATGTATTGAAAAAAATTGGCTGTAGTTTTTTCTTGCTTGAAAATCTCATAGCTTCGCCGCCATAGACAACCATTAGATTTTCTGTGTGTTTGTATATTTGCCATTTTTACCATTGCAAATTAATGTATTATAATGGAACTGTCATGGCTGCCAAAGTCTATGATGGTGATGATTTCTTGGTTTGGTTTGCTTTTCAATGCAAGTTCTATGTATGTAATGATGAACAATAAACCGGCAGTGTATGTTCGCTCGTATAGCAGATACGAAGGCAGCCATTATACGCATAGGCCTGTTTGGTTCAGTTTTTTTAGCAATTTGTGTGTGTTTAATGCATAGCATTTTAGATTGCCTGCCTGCATTGAATTTCTATCGTATTTTTTATACATGTAAAGTCTATGACGATGATGATTACAATGGGATGTATGGATAGAAAGAGCGCATAAATGCTATGTTGGTTGAGTGATTGGAGATATGTATGATATTGGATGTGTGTGTGTGTGTTGAATCGTTGAATGTTTTTTCTATGCTATGGCAATGGCGGTCTATGGAATGAACTGCCTGACTTGCCTTAGCTTGCCTGTTTGTCTCTATGGGCAAATAATGTGTATGTGAGATTTTTTTCTAAATGGTGATTTGGTTTTTCTATAGATTTCCTATGGGGTAGTGTGTGTATGTAATAGGTTTCAACCAACAGCAGCAAAATCGTATAGAAATAAGCAAGTAAGACAAAAAAACAAGGCAGGCTTATTTCTATGCCTATCTCGACATATAACAACGAAGAGAATAACCGTTTGGATAAAAAAATATAATTTTTGTTCTCTTTGTCGTCGAAATCAAATATTCGTATTCGTGTCGTCTTCGTTGTCGTTGTTTTTCATTATCTTGTAATTCCGATTGTTCATCGGTTATTACAACCAACAAAAACCTTCAACGTCAACCGAAAAAATTCCATGCTGTAATTGTTTTGATAATATTCGATTTTTCATTTTTCTTAACATTCATAATTGATTTTTTTTCTTCCAATCTTTGACAGATCGATCGTAATCAGTTTGCTGAATTCAATTTTTATTGTCACTATATCATCAATTTCGTGTCATCTTTTCATTTCATCAACTTAATTGATAATGGGAAAAGATAATAAACCTCGTGGTCGTATGTCGGCCTATGCATATTTTGTGCAAACTTGCCGTGAAGAACATAAACAAAAACATCCGAATGAAAACGTTGTATTTGCAGAATTTTCGAAAAAATGTTCCGAACGCTGGAAGGTATGTGTAACCTTTAGAGTTTGATTTGCAAATCATTACTCAATATTCGAATGTTTTCTTTTTGCAGAACATGAGCGATAAAGAGAAAAATCGCTTCCATGTAATGTCCGAAAAAGATAAAAAACGTTATGATGGCGAAATGTCCCGTTATAAAGCTACCAATAAAGGTGCCGAAAAAGGCCGCAGGAAGAAGCGCGTCAAGGATCCCGATGCACCAAAACGATCATTGTCGGCATTCTTCTGGTTCTGTAATGATGAGCGATCTAAAGTAAAAGGTCAGAATCCCGAAGCTACCGTTGGTGAAGTAGCCAAAGAATTGGGTCGTCGTTGGAATGCCTGTACCGAAGATCAAAAAGCTAAATATGAAGCATTGGCACTCAAAGACAAGGCTCGATATGAAAAGGTAAGTCAACTTGAATCAATTCTGACTGAATTTTCAACTAAAATTGCTTATTTATCTCATTAGGAAATGAAAGCTTATAAAGGCGGAAAAACTACTGGTGGCAGTAAAGGCGGTGCGAAAGGTGGTTCATCCAAATCAAAGAAGGAATCCTCTGACGAAGAAGAAGAAGAGGAGGAAGAAGATGATGATGATGATGAAGATAGCGATTAGACTAATTAATTTTAGACCTGAATCGATTATCAGAATATTATCGCTTCTGACCATCATCCATCTTGAGATTCTCATTTACATTCATTTTTATATCCATGAAATTGTCATTATAAACATTCGATGATTCAACCACATACACATACACATTAAATTCATAACCCGAGTAATCGGATTTCATTTCAATTTTTTCGGGCTTAATTAATAATTCTTAAAACTTTTCTTTTTCATACATACAATTTGTAATTGATAAATTGACATAATAATTATCAAAAGCAAAACAAAAACAAAAAATTATAGCCTCATTTATACTCATCAAATTCTCATATTGAAATTAATTCATTTTTTTTTCTCATTTAATTTCATTTCGATTCATTTTGGTGAATTTACATTTCAAATGTTGAAAACACATCCCTATCTATAATTGCTATTAAAATATCTTCATTTAAATACGAAATTGACCATACAATTAATTTAAAAAAAAGGAATAATCGATGTTATATGTCAAATTATTGATTGAAAAATTTACAAAAATTTTCATCAGATTTTAGACAAACAATAATGGTAGCCTATTTATAATGGTAACAATTATGGCGCGTATAAATTGGCTGGAATTTTTCAAAATTTTGCTCATTCATTTTGATTATAATGCCATCTATCCATAGTTTATCATCAATTTAATTGTCTACATCACCTTCATGAAGGTGCATGGTGTTGTTTTTGTTGTTGTTGTTGATTTGTATGATATATTTTTTTGGATGGTCAATTGTTTTTCGATTTGCGTTTTTTCAAAATTGATAGGGAAAATAATAATCAAAAAACATCCACTACAAATATGAGTAATTTAGTTGAACGAACTCGGGAATTTATACCGAATGATATTATCGAACCATCATTATCTGAACGAGAAAAATTAATAGATGAACGTATTGAAGAATTACGAAAGAAACGTGAATCATTTGATCCGGAAACCGAATTTGTTGGTATACGACGGCTAGGATCAAGCTATACAGCTGCCGAACCGTTTGCATATTTTGATGGACCTAGTCAACATCAACTTCGTTTTGTCCATGTTACATACATTGGTTTGACTTCAATGGTTATGGCTGGTGCAACGATTTTTGCTTTTCACCTAAAAACTCTTCCATATGTTTCTTGTTTATTTCGTGGTGCATTATCGGCTATACCAGGTGGATATCTTGGTCATAAATTTTTTGAATGGCGACAACAATTTGGCCGTAAAAAAAATAATACCTTTTTTGCTTATGCACTTATGCATGAAAATGATTTTCCAAAATTCGGTATGTTTATATAAACAACAATCAGATTTCACATTAATATAATTGACAAAAAATTTCTTTTGTTTGCACAGAGAGAAAAAAATTCAATGATATTACCCGTGATTTTACTGCTCATCGATCATTGAATATACCCGTACTGAAAATGCGTTGGTAAAAACATTGTAATTGATTTGTTTGTAGTTTGTTTGTCTCAAATTAAAATGAAATGAAATTGAATTAAAAATTTTTTTCAATTAGACAATTTTACTCATTTATTCATTATTATTTTTTCAAAGAAACAAAAATTCTTTTCCCATCGAATCAATTTTGTTTGTTAATTACAAAATGTTCAATTTTCGTTCCATAATCATATGTGGTGGTAAATTAACTTCACAAAATTCATTCGGTTGATCGTATATATTTTCCGGCATAATCATCTCATCATGACCCAATAAAACATCCATCATTAGATTTGAACTTGGTAGAAATGGTAAACGACCAACATTAGCGGCTGATTTACGTTCAGCTAATTGACGAAGTGGTGCCTGAATTCCTTGTACCGAACGTAATATCTGAAGATCACGATATTCATCACGAGCAAGACGTGTTTTTTCCAATCGTTCCAATGGATGACCACCATAGTTTGATTGTCGAATCGATGATGGACTAAAATTATTATTATTTTTCAATTGTAGCGATGTGGAATAATTAAAAATTTATAATCAATGTTGGATTGAATTTTCTTACCCATAAATAAATGTAGATTTTAAAGGATTTCTTTGCTGATCAATTTCATATTTGTTACTGTGATTGCCGAATTGAACCACTTGTTCATGAAGATCATTTCTATCCATAGTAATCTTTATTTCGATAATAAAACTTTTAAAATATTCAATCTGTCAAATTATGAATCGATTTTGTAATAAAATGAAATTTATAAATACTCGAAAATATGCTTTGTCACGAGCGCTATTGCCGATATTGGCCAATGTTTGCCTGTTCATAAATGTTAGGATGAATTTTTTTTTTCAAATAACAATTATAAAAAATTTATTTCAACTTTCAAAATCAAATGATAAAAATTAAATAAAAATGTTTAGGATTTATTTGCAAGTTTTTCATCTGCTTTTCGTGGCTTTTTAGGTAATATACCCATAAGATTGGAAATAATGCCCAACATAATTTCATCGGTACCGCCTGCAATTGACAAAGCTCGATTATCTCGATATGCACGGCCAACAAGTAAATCTTCAGTAAAACCCATACCACCAAAATATTGCAGGCATGAATCAATAACTTCACGAGAAAGACGACCAGCTTTAAGTTTAGCAATAGATGCTAAATACGTAACATTTTCGCCATTCATCATTTCATCAGCAGCACGATAATTAAGTGATTTTAAACATTCAACATCTGATTGTAATTCGGCTAAACGAAAATGAATATATTGATTATTGATCAATGGCTGATCAAATGTCATCCGTTGTCGACAGTAATCAATAGTTTCTTGTATGAAACGAAACATCATACTCACGGCATTTATAGAAACACAAAGACGTTCATCTTGAAATTGCATCATCTGATACATGAATCCTTGTCCTTCTTCACCGATTATATAACGATATGGAACACGAACATTATCGAAAAAAATTTCAGCCGTATCCGAACTACGTAAACCAATTTTGTCGATTTTTCTAGCTACCGTTACGCCAGGGCTTTTTAATGGTACAATTACTAATGATTTATTTCGATGAACTGGACCATGACTTGTATTAACCAACATACACATAAAATCAGCTTGAGCACCATTTGTAATCCACATTTTACTACCATTTATAATTAGATCATCACCATCACGACGTGCATACGATCGTAATGCAGCTACATCAGAACCACCTGATGGTTCGGAAACACCAACACAAGCAACATAATCACCGGATAATGATGGTGCAAGAAATTCACGTTTCAATTCATCGGATCCAAAATTTACCAGAGCTGGTAATGACATATCCGTATGTACAAGGATTGAAGTCGCTATACCACCACAATTTATGTTAGCCAATTCTTCGAAAAATGCAACCGAATACGAATAATCCAATCCATGTCCATTATATTCTTTAATATTATATATCCAAAATAGAATAAAATAAATTCCATTCATTAATATAAATTCAAGGTTTTTTTTTTGTTTGTTAAACAATTAATTTCTTACCTGGATCACGAGTTATACCAAATAATCCTGCATTGGCTAATTTTTTAAACACTTCATGTGCTGGATACATTCCTTTTGCTTCCCATTCATTTACAAATGGATTAATATCTTTTTCAATTATACGATTACATGTTTTACGTAATTCATCATGTTCAGTTGAAAATGTTACTGTACGTATTATCGATTTATTAATGTTGATGGTTTTGGAATTATAATTTTTATTCAACAATAAATTTATTGTTGATTTAAATAAAGGTTTTTTGAACATTTTGTTGTTGTTGTTGTTGTTTGTAATTAAAAAAAATCAAATCAATATTGAAAATTCATCAAATCAAATATTCACAAACAAACAAATATTTTATATATAAAACAAAATGATTAAAAGTTTAAGTCAAACAATAACAAAAACAATAACAAAAACAATTTATATTTGAGGGTACATCCAGACCATTTTTATTGGGAACACCGTTATCTTTAAAATGATGTTTATTTTATAACGAAAAATTCGACTCATTATATAATTTTTTTTTCAATATAAACAAAAAATAATAATAATATACAGTTTGATCATTAGAAAACTAGATGGTGATACTATAGTGTTTGAATATTTTGACATTTTTTTTATTATTCAAATGAAATTAATTATTTGTTTTTTTTATCTCCTGTTGCTTATGATGATAATGGAGGTGTTGATGAGCTGTTTATATAACAAGAATAATATCAATGTGTGTGTGGGGGGAGAAGTGTATCAATTTTTCTTGCTTATTTAATAGAATTTAATAGATTATTATTTTTGAATATTATTATTCAAGACCAAAAATATAATTAACACCTTGTACGGCAAACAATATTAATGGTTGCCATGCAATCAAATAACGTATAAAATCCAATAGATTACCATAAAGATAATGTGGTTTTTGAAAAGGCAATGATGAGAATAATTTGTTGAGATCAACTTTCTCACGACAGAATGGACATAATTGTTTTTTACCAACTAAACACCAACCAAATATACAATATTGATGATATGTATGGCCACATGATAATGTATAGGTTTTTTCTTGTAATGATGGATCCATTGTCATATTATTGTTGTTATTATTATGATTACCACCATTAAAACAATCAATATTATTCAAATCGGATAAATGATCATCGGCTAATAAACTTGATCGATCGCTATCATCCATTATATGATGACTATTAATTGACATTGATGTACGATGATTACCACCATGAGGACGGCCACATATTGCACAGGTTTTTGAATTTAATTGTTTACTAGGCAATGATGATGATGGTGAATAATAGCCAATATTTGCAGCTAATTTATCGACAAGAAAATCGGTAAAATCTCTTGTTAAAACACCATAATAAATGCCATAGAATAATAATAATATTCCAATATCTAATGTATACATTGGTTTTATACCCAAAAGAATATTGACACCTAATAATGTTAACATTATTATTGAATAACCGGTAACAGCAATCACCGATGATAATGAATATAAATAAAAGAACCAACGATATACTTGTCGTGGAATGGATGAACCATTAGTACCTAGTTTCTTATAGAATAATGGTCGATATATTAATAACATTGTCATCGCTGAAATAAATAACCAAATAATTATAAAACGCCAATAATGTTGATAGGCTGATAAGAATAATGGTATGATCCACATACCTGAAAAAAAACAAATCAAAACCAAAACAATTGAACACTCGGAAATCATTGAAAATTTGCAAAAATACGTACCAAACATGGAAACATTTTGATATGATTTAAAATGTTTTTTACGCCAATAAATTAATAATATTTGTGAAATAAACATTGCACTAATCAATATGAGTAACATAATAGCATGCATCGATTCATGACCACGATGTTTTTCATGCATAAGTAAATGTTCTTGTTGACTTTTCGGTAATGAACTTATATTTACTTTGGTTATATCGATTCCATGATAAATATGTGGACCATCATCATTGTTTAAATGATGTCCATGATCATGTTCTGAATCCATTTGCTCAAATTAAGTTTTTGTATTTTGTATTTTGTAAATTACAAATGAATGAATGAATCTTATTCGAAATTGAAATCGGATAATTTGATTAAAACTAATTAATTACCAGAGGATAAATTACATATTTAGAAATGATTGTAAATCGAAATTTTATCAACAAAAAAAAACACAAATCCACAACAAAAATTAAGACCACGCAAACATATCGATGAAAGAAATTTTCTTGGAAAGAAAAAAATTCTTAAATAATTCCAAAACAAATGATAAATAGGAAAATTTCTTGGAAATCAAAAAAAAAACCTTTAATTTTCATTTCGAACCACAGATGGCATTAAATGAGTCGAATTTGGATTCGAATTCGAATTCCAAAAATTCCAAAAAAAGAATAGGTAGCATCAAAAGAACAAAAAACAGAATTTTTGAAAATTTCAAAATAAAACAGCAGAATTTCCATTTAACAACAACATCAAAAGCAGCATATCGTTTTTCATTTATTTCAGTTTTTTTTTGAAAATCGATTCTGATTAGAATCAGTGATTATTAACAACCATCATCATCATCATCATCGATATTTATGTATTATCAATTGGATAAAATCTTTTGAAAATCGATTCGGCCAAAAAACACCATCATCATCATCATCATTATCATCAACAACAACTGCAAAACTATACAATATTTTACGTTTATTTTTTTTTCGGGAAATAAATCCTTGGAAAGAAATGTAAAAATCAAATGTCGTGAATTTTTTAACTTTGTCGTCGTCGTTATTTAAATTGAATCATCATCAAAATAAGATGAAGATTATGATGAACATCATTGTACAATAGGCAATGAAAAACTTTTCTTTTCTAATATCATCATTATTTTCATCAATTTCAATGGACATTTTTCATTCAGTCACCGAACAACAACAACAAGGAAAAAAACAGCCATTCAAAACAGAATTTCCTGTATGCAATAGTGTTTGCGTAAAAAACCCAAAGAATATTCATTCTGTCTGAATATTATCACCATTATCATCATCATCATCATCATCATCAATGATAACGGCGACAAGAATGATTTTAAAAAAAACTTATGGTGACAAACAGAAAAAAATCATCGATTGAAATTTCGATTTTTCCCCCGTTCAGAATCATATCATATATCTATTCTATGGTGATGAGAATTTTTATTTTTTTTTTCTGTGTTGGAATCATGGAAAAAAAGTTTGTTTTTTTTTATCAGTGAAAAAAAATATTCAATGATGATGATGATGACTAAGATGATCGGCGAATCAATCACATATCGATTTTTCTTTTGGTTTCTCGTTGATTTAAAAAAAATCGAAATATCATGACAATATTTTGTTGTTGTTTTTTTATTTCGCAGTTCGTCTTTTAAAACGATCGATAACGAAGACTTTGTGTTGTTTGGTTTGGCTCGGTTCTGTTTGAATTCTGTGTTTTTTTCTCTCTCTCACAGACTTAAACAAATCGAATCAAAAATTACATTTTGATTCGAATGCTCGTTACACTTTTTTGTTTGTTTGTTTGACTTTTGATTTTTGATCTTTATTGCCAAAAGATTCAAAACTTTTTTCCCCATTCTCTCTCTCTCTCCACATAATGAACATATTCACAATTCGAATCTAATATCGTTTTTGTTGTTGTTGTTGTTTTTATCGATAATTTCTTCTTCTTTTGACTATTTTCACTTAATCAACTGACAAATGGTTACATTTTTTTTTTTTGATCACTTAACACTAACAACGTACACTAACACTTATACATGATATTCACATTAGAATCGATTAGTGTACTTTAGTATTCTTTTACGCCCACAAAGTTCCACACACACACACGGTAACCACAAATTATAAGGCAAACGATAATAACAATTATTATTGCAATGGCAAAACGCACACACACACTTTTACTTTAATTTACTTTACTTTACTTGGATAGATAAATAGATGTTTTAGTTTTGGGTGATGATGATTTTTTTTGCCCAAATTCATTATCAATTCGATTTTTGTTTTGTTTTGTTTTTGTTTCTTTCGTCATCACCATCAACAATTAGCGCTTGCATGAACATGATTTTTCCATTTAATCGATAAATTTGTGAATAATTGATTGATTGATTGATTTATTAATTTTTTTTTTAGCTGAAAATTAATTGCATTTTTGTGTTTTCTGTTTTTGCCATGGACTCTTTCTCTCTCTCTCCCAAATAAATTTGAATTATTCAAATTATTTTGACTGGAAAAACTTTTCATTAAAAAATTCATTCATTTTTGTTGTTGTTGTCAAAAGAATAATTACACGATAAAATTAATTAATTTGAACGGTGAAAAAACAGATGAAAAACTTATTTACACTTTTTTTTCGTTTGGCTGCTGCTGGTATCCGAAAATTCAAAAGAATTTTTTTCATTTAAAATGAGAAAATTATTTTTCAATTTCGTTTCCCCTTCCCAAAATTCGGTCAGGATTTATTTTCAACGAATTTCGTTCTTGATTTTGATTTCGATTTTAACTTGCAAAAAAAAGAATTTACTGAACAACAACTGTTTTTTGGATCAAAATGCTGCTGAATAAATTCTATTCGCGTATTTAGATCTTTTTTTTGGGGGGAGAGGAATGAAATGGAATTTTGTTTTCTATTTCTATTGTAATTCATATTCATTTTGTATGTGTATGATTGGGTGGTGAATAGTATTTATTTCGGGAGAGAGAGAGAAAAAAAAAGTTTTTCTTGATTCAAAGTTTGCTTTTTCTTTTTGGTTCCTCGGGTAAATCAAATCTCTCTTTTGAGCCTCCCGGTTATTGTTTTTCATTGTCTGAGAGAGAGATAGAGAGAAAAAAGTTTCCAAATCCTGAATTGAAATAAAACAATCAAGTAATCAACTGGATAGAATCAATGGATTGAATGTTTGTGTGTGTGAGTTTGTGTATGTAGAGAGTTAGAGAAAGAGAAAAAAAAAGTTCAAACAAGAATCCAATGTTATATTAAAATCAACTAAGACTACCAGAATCAACTGAAAGACTTTTTTTTTTGTTTAGTTTAGTTTAACTAATTTATTCTTCTTTTTGGATTTGTTGAAAGACTAGAAAAAAGAAAATCATTCATTCATACATTCATTCATTCGTATTGATTGATCCAAAAGAATCTGTATATTTAGTGAGAGAAAAGGAAAAACGTTTACAATATGTGCCCAACAAAGACACATTGGTCCACACAGAAGAATATTCTTATTTTTTTGGAATCTTTTTACAATATGATCATCATTGAATGACGGAAAAAAAGTAAAAATGTCCCAACGAAAAAAAAATGAAAAGAAAATATTGTTGTTTATTAAGTCAATATTTATATTCGATCCATCAAATATTGATATGATATATATGGTGGCCAAATTCAATGGCCAAAATTCAATCTTATCAATAATAATAATGGAAAAAAATTAATTCGCCATTCATTTTTACTGTGCGATTTTTATGTTTTTTTTCTTTGTTAGTCAAGATTTTCGCGATGTTCTTTTTGTTGTGTGAATTTTTTTCAAGAATTTCAATCATTATAAAGAAATTATTCATTCATCATTAGCGAATCAATCCAAAACAAAACAAAATGATGAAATGGTGAAAACTTTTTTCTTATTGCATCAAATCCGATGTAAAGAATATTCTCACTAGTGTCGATTATCCACTATATATATTGAATATAATTCATTTTGAATTTATTATTCTGTTTCGTTTTTTCTGTTTCGCTTCTCAAGAAGAAGAAAGAAAAAAAATTATAGAAATATATTCCATGGAAAATTTCCATTGGTCCCCTGGATTAAATGGATTTTCCACCCACACGCACACACACAATGATCCATATATAGTCTGAGTGTTTTTTGTTTTTGATCTTCATATACAGATATTGTTATTAGCTTGCTTTTCTTGATTCCATCCGTTTTTGTTTTTTACTTTTTTTTAAATGATGACATAGAAACGAGGAATAGAGGAAAATTCCTTTGAGAATGATTTCAAACGAAAAAAATAAAGAAAGAATTTGGTTTTCTTTATGTCGTTTGTATTCTGTGTGTCACCAACACATTCAGTTTGTTTGTGTTTGTGTGTGTGTTCACAATTGGTTTTGGTTGTCGTGTATTGGTGAAAGTGTCAAAGTGACAAAACCCAATGAAATGAAAAACAGTTTTTTATTTTGGAGGGGGAGGGTAATTCTTTCGACAATAATAACGATGATGATAATAATAATAATGAAAAAACCAGTTGGATCACGAATCTTCAGAATGACAGAATCCTTGTTTTTTGTTAAAAAAAGGAGAAACTTTATTATGTATGATAATCATCATAAAGCTCATCATTGTGTGTTTGTGTGTTTTATCTTGGTGTTGATGAAGAAAAGTTTTTGTTCGTCTTGTATTTTTTTCCATAATGATTATGATATGTTGATGATGATGTTTGGCAGAAATTCAGAAAGAATTTCTGGTTTGAATTTATGTTTTTTCTGATTCAAGATTTTTCACTTGAAAAAAAAAAGTTTTTCAAATTCAATGACGGTCACTTTTTCCTAGGAAAATTTTTCCAAATTCGTTTTGATGTTATTTTTGAATGAAAGAAAAAACAATGGATAAAAACAGATGTGAAATTTGTTTTTCTGCTTTTCTACTTTTTTTTCACACGAATTCTCAATTCTTGATTCTTAACTATAATCGGATTAACATTCTATGGTAGAATATATAAACATCAATCATATCGATTTTGTTTTTTTATTATTGATTAATTGTTATCGATGAAGAGAGTGAGAGAGAAATTAATAATTTAAAAATACATTAGAAATCCATTGATCGATTATTCAAACCAAGAAATTCTCTCTCTAACTTTCTCTCATTCATCCTTTGTAATATTTTCATTTCAAATTCAATTGATTCACGCAACCAGAAACAAAAAAAAAGAAAAAAAATAACCAACCATTTGATTAATAACAAGTAAACAACACAGAGTTACAAAGTAAAATGGAAAACAAACACCATTTAGAATCTAAATTTTAGATGATTGTACTGTTGTTCTGTTGTTTGGTTGAATTAAACATTGAAAAAGCACACACACGGCTATTTGTCAATGACAAAAAATATATTCATATTTTGGCCACTTTTTTTCTTCGATAATAATTCAAAAAACAAGCGGAATCAGACACACACACGCAATAATCCTATAACC